AGAAAGATATAGGTTTAGTTGAACTATACACGTTGATAAACCAGTGCCTTGATGATGTTTGTAGAAAGATATAGGTTTAGTTGAACTATACACGTTGATAAACCAGTGCCTTGATGATGTTTGTAGAAAGATATAGGTTTAGTTGAACTATACACGTTGATCTTCTTTCCTTTAAAAAGTAGAAGTTTTAACTTATGAAGTAAAAAGTGCATATTGTTTCATTTGACTAATTTGTACAATCAGATTAAATATATTAAGTTTTTTCTAATCTGCCATAACCCTTTCTGAAAGTAATTATAAGTTAAGTTGAACTATCCCTCCAAGTTCAATATACTTTGTGACTTTTTTCATACACAGTTATAAATGCTGGTTTAACAATTATATTTGGCATGGAAAATATTTTGACTTTTAATGTATTTAACCCTAAATCGGCACACCTGGGGTCCACATGGACCCAAATAACTGTCTTGAATATATATCTTTTTATATAATCATTACAAATTTATATCAATTCATGTTATTGTCAAACAAAAACCCTGGATCAATATGACACTATTGTTTCGAGACAGGCAGATGGAGTACCTAGCTACAATCTAATATTTATCTGGGGTCCACATACAATCATTGACCTTCACCATACATACAAATGCTCTATAGCAAACAAAACAAATTTCTAAACGTTTATTTCGCTATATAGATTGTTATAAACGATAATCCATCAAATTAGTACATTTGGTCTGTTTGTTTGTGACATCATTGTGGTAAACATGTATGTGCATCTCATTCCTCAACAAATGTTCTCTGTAATGACTGCTTATAATATCCTATTGTATAGAAACCTTGTTTGATAATTGTTGTAAATAACCTACTTATTGGATTTTCAACCCGAAGTCCACTATAAGGATACATCTGTTTTGGGGTCTAGCGACCCACAACGTACACTTTGAGTTGAATGTTACAGTATTGTGGTAACCTCGTCATATATTGATGGATAATGACTTGAACATTTTTTGGTACACTGTTTGTATAAGGAATGGTTTAATACTACTTATTTGTATATTGAGGAACAATGTAATTTTGTAATTTATTGATTTGTCAACATATTTCCTCTAGAATACACACACTGTTGTTCACATTGCATGCTAACCCTAATAAATGTTGTAATGTAATTGGTTTTTGGAATTTCAATCCAGAGCTTACTATAATAGTAATTTTGTGCTGGGGTCCAACTGGACCCCAGGTGTTTCACAACATAACTTTTCAAAGCTCTGCAGATGAGGGTTAATATGTTTATAACATGTTCTGTAAAGAGTTAGAGAGACCATTCCAGTTTCTAGTATGTTAAATAAACTCTTCCAGTTTCTAGTATGTTAAAGAGACTGTTCCAGTTTCTAGTATGTTAAAGAGACTGTTCCAGTTTCTAGTATGTTAAAGAGACTGTTCCAGTTTCTAGTAAGTTAAAGAGACTGTTCCAGTTTCTAGTATGTTAAAGAGTTAGAGACTGTTCCAGTTTCTAGTAGGTTAAAGAGTTAAAGAGACTGTTCCAGTTTCTAGTATGTTAAAGAGTTAGAGACTGTTCCAGTTTCTAGTATGTTAAAGAGTTAGAGAGACTGTTCCAGTTTCTAGTATGTTAAAGAGTTAGAGACTGTTCCAGTCTCTAGTGTGTTAAAGAGACTGTCCCAGTTTCTAGTATGTTAAAGAGTTAGAGAGACTGTTCCAGTTTCTAGTATGTTAAAGAGTTAGAGACTGTTCCAGTCTCTAGTGTGTTAAAGAGACTGTTCCAGTTTCTAGTAGGTTAAAGAGTTAAAAAGACTGTTCCAGTTTCTAGTATGTCGTTTTCACATATTTCAGCTATCTTTCTAATTCTTTTCATTTTACTTTTACAGAGCCTTTTTCACCTTGTAGCAGTAACAGCAAAGTTAGGTCCATTAGGTTTTTTTAAGGTATGACTATTTTCTTTTGTAATTGTGACCACTTTATGTCTATAGAGTATCACATTATTTAAGTTATGAAAAATGCATCAGAAATAACTTGTTCTATTGAACTGATTATAAAATATGCATATATTTCTGTACTTTGTATGTTTCATCTTGTTGTGATATATAATTTTACTTACTGAAGTAAAATTTTGAAACAGTATAACAGACTGACAAGTATGTAGTGTTAAAAACAGATTATACTACGTGTATCAGTAAGTAGTGTTAAAAACAGGTTATACTACGTGTATCAGTAAGTAGTGTTAAAAACAGATTATACTACGTGTATCAGTAAGTAGTGTTAAAAACAGATTATACTACGTGTATCAGTAGGTAGTGTTAAAAACAGATTATACTACGTGTATCAGTAGGTAGTGTTAAAAACAGATTATACTACGTGTATCGGTAGGTAGTGTTAAAAACAGATTATACTACGTGTATCAGTAAGTAGTGTTAAAAACAGATTATACTACGTGTATCGGTAGGTAGTGTTAAAAACAGATTATACTACGTGTATTGGTAGGTAGTGTTAAAAACAGATTATACTACATGTATCAGTAGGTAGTGTTAAAAACAGGTTATACTACGTGTATCAGTAAGTAGTGTTAAAAACAGATTATACTACGTGTATCAGTAAGTAGTGTTAAAAACAGATTATACTACGTGTATCAGTAAGTACTGTTAAAACAGGTTATACTACGTGTATCAGTAAGTAGTGTTAAAACAGATTATACTATGTGTGTCAGTAGGTAGTGTTAAAAACAGATTATACTACGTGTATCAGTAGGTAGTGTTAAAAACAGATTATACTACGTGTATCAGTAGATAGTGTTAAAAACAGATTATACTACGTGTATCAGTAGGTAGTGTTAAAAACAGATTATACTACGTGTATCAGTAGGTAGTGTTAAAAACAGATTATACTACGTGTATCAGTAGGTAGTGTAAAAACAGATTATACTACGTGTATAAGTAGGTAGTGTTAAAAACAGATTATACTACGTGTGTCAGTAGGTAGTGTTAAAAACAGATTATACTACGTGTGTCAGTTGGTAGTGTTAAAAACAGATTATACTACGTGTATAAGTAGGTAGTGTTAAAAACAGGTTATACTACGTGTATCAGTAGGTAGTGTTAAAAACAGGTTATACTACGTGTGTCAGTAGGTAGTGTTAAAAACAGATTATACTACGTGTATAAGTAGGTAGTGTTAAAAACAGATTATACTACGTGTATCAGTAGATAGTGTTAAAAACAGATTATACTACGTGTATCAGTAGATAGTGTTAAAAACA